CTCTCATTCAGGCTACACCCCCCTCCCCCCATGTGGCCTTGTAGAGACATTCAGGACAAAAAAAATGTGTGGATGACCTTACAAGTTGCATTTCAGAGGGTCCCTGGCTTAGCTGTTTCTTTAATTCAGTTTTCATTGTTTTCTGTCACTGCTTGAACCCACCCTGTTCTATTTTGCTTGTCTTTCATGTTGTGTACATATCTCTCTCTCTCTCTCTCTCTCTCTCTCTCTCTCTCTCTCTGTATGACTCAATGAGTGTTATTAAATTTGTTTACGAGAGTGTGGATAAAGGGTTATTTACGGGAGCACGGACACTTTCCCAAAAACTATGCCACTGAAGAAAATGTCACCCTGCCTTAACAATTAACTATCTATAACTCCTCAGAGGGATGGGTCATTTTTCCTGCTTGTCTACAGTTCTTCCTCCTTGAATCTTTTCTACTGTTCAAAATGAGATTTAATTCTGTTGAAACCTAACAGAAGGTGTTGTAAGTTGAAAATGCTAAGCACAGCTCAGCAGCATGTGACCAGTGCAGTAATGGTTCCCTTTGGGGTCATGGGACTGAATGGGAACTGTGAGCCCTGATGTTTCTCTGCACACTTGGGGATATTGTGCTATGTAGAGCTCGCTTGGGAGAAGATCGGAATCCAAAGTCTGAAGTGTGCTTTCTATTGAACGTGCATTGCTTTCATGCCATCTTAAAGATGAAAAAATTATGTCGCACCATTGGTGCTGGGAGCTGTTTGTTATTTCAAAGATTCTCCTGCATTCTTCCTTTCCCATCTCCATTCTTACATAACTGCATTGAGTAGCACAAAAGGCGCTTAACCAAGTAGAACCAAGGAGGATGTCTGTGCTTGAAGAGAGTGCGCCAGACTGCAGTGCCGAAGAGCAGGAAATTAGAAACTGGAGAGCTAATCTGAGATACAGCGCCACAGCACTTCACTGAAAAGACTGTCCCAGAAAACGACAAAAACTGAATTAAAGAAACAGCTAAGCCAGGGACCCTCTGAAACACAACTTGTAAGGTCACCCACATGCTGTTTTGTCCTGAATATCTCTACACAGACAGAGGACAGAGAACCCTGAGGTAGTGCTGTACCTGGCTCCTGTGCATTTCCTGTCATGCATTTCCCGATGCACACGCCTGTATGTCTTGGTGAGGAGGATGGCAATTACGACAGCTTGACTGTGCTTCACACTGACCGGGGCTTCTTTTTAGCCTTTCCTGGATTCCACTGGGAACCCACGAGAAGCCTGAGCTATTGATGTGTTCCTTGGAAGAGGCACAGTTTTAAACTATGCGACACCAGTGCCGACTGGTAATCAGTTTGGGGGAAATCCTGTGGTGTAAGCCAGTCCAACTGAACGCCTCCTTATACTTCCAGTTTTCTGGGGCATGTCCTCCTTGTGTGGATGGTGTGGTGCGCACGTGTGAGGCTTATACTTGACACTTTGCCTGTGCATGTGGTCTATATGGATGAAGGTGGAGCAGAAAGAATGGCAGAGAGATGGAGTTGGAACCCATAATAGTATGCCTGCATCCCACGCGGCCACGGGACTCTTTAAGACGGTAGCCAATTCATTGCGCTTACAATTTAAGCTGAATGTAGTTGAGTTTTCTTTGACTCACAACTAAAAATTTCTGGATGCATGCACTTGTAGATCATGCTCTTTAGCTACCAAGGTACCCTCTTAGGTGATGACAGCTGAGACTAACGTCAGCCCAGCATAAAAAGTGTTTCTATCCCCATCTAAATCGTGGAAGCTCATGTCTTCGGATGCCCTCTTCTGAGTCTCCCTCATGAAGCGACCCTGAGTTGGGATGACACTCTTTCCAGAGAATTCCCACAGAGGTAGTGTTGGATGATAATTTATTGCCCTCTTCATATTGCCCTCTGTGTTTTCTTTTTAAAAACAAAACTTACATTTTAACTTTTTCTTTTCTGGCCTTGTCTGGCGCATGACTCAGTTCTGGTCAGTTAGACTGAACCACCTTGGGGAGATAATTCAAGCTGAGCTGTTTTTCGCCGTCATCCCCATCCTTCTTGGGTTTGGTCACTGACATGATGCTTGAGGCTTTAGCAGCTGCTCTGCCATAGTAAAAGAACTGGGTAGCTTGCCAAAACAGACAAGAGGATAGATCAGAGGCCATGGACCTAGGTGCCACCACCGGGCAGTTAACTAACACCAACAGCCAGCTTTCTCCTGAGTTCTGGCATCTGACAAAAATAACCCCTTTTGTTTAAGTCACGGCAAGTCAGGCTGTCTGATACCGACAACACAGGCATCTCCACTAACTCACACATTACTATGAAAAAGTCGGTCACGTTTTCTTCAGGAAAGATATTATATTCAACTAGACTACGGACCTTGTGAGGCTCCTGGCTCTCAGATAAGTCTCCTTCTTAGGTGTGTCCTGTCTTCCGAGGGCTCCCAAATCCGAGGGCCCTTAGACCAACAGCAATTATCTTCGATCCACACCACACCCTTTTCTCTTACATGTGAATGATAATTACTAGACCAGCGCTCAAAGTGCATCATCTTCAGGACTCAGTAATAAGCATGCAGTTGGCTTTTCCTGGGACACGATCATATCATAATTGAATAAAGTTTGATTTAAGTCTCACCCTGGGCTTTGGCAAGATAGACCCTTGACTACTGGAGAAATCCTCTGAGATGTTGAATTGCGCTGCTCAGACTCTAGTCACTAGAGCTTTGAGGTAAGTTGGTAAGAGCAGAAACTGGCTTCCAGAACCAACCCATTGCCCAGCGGGTTGTGCCTCGGTTCCACCATAGATTTAGATGAGTGCAGATTTCATCGACTCTGTGCTGGCTTTCTGAAAACTGCCCTGTACAGTCTGCTGGTGCTTTTTGTTCTTGTTGGTTTTTTGGGAAGGAAGATGGCTAAGAGCTCTATCAGAGTCCCTTTCCATGCTGACAATCCATAGACGCCGCTCCAGAGAGTCTGTTAGGGCCTTCGGTCAGGTTTCTCATGGTTTTCTCAAAACCTGGTTGTTTTTTTTTTTTAATTTTCAAACATAGGTTGGGAACAACGCTAATATTGGCTGCTGTGGTTAGAAGGGGATTGTCATGGCCTTCCAGTGCAGAAAAGTCACAATGTCCATTTTCTAAACAAGCATGCTCGGAAATTTTCCACTTTGATCCAACCAGACTTCCAGAAGCAATCACAAACAGCTAGCCCAAGAGTCCTTCTCTTTGGTCAATATCACTTTATTTATTTATTTGTTTGTTTATTTATTTATTTTGAGACAGGGCTTCTCTGTGTAGCTTTGGTGCCTACCCTGGAACTAGCTCTTGTAGACCAGGCTGGCCTCAAACTCGCAGAGATCCGCCTGTCTCTGCCTCCTGAGTGCTGGGATTAAAGGCGTGCACCACCACCACCTGGCCCTCAACATCACTTTATTATAGACATCAAATGCCACATTTTGTTGTGATAAATGGAAATGTTTATGGGAGTGGAACTTCTTTGCCTCCATTTCTTTCTGTCAATCATCCTGTGGGAGGGTCAAAGAGTCCCCGAACTGGGGTGGTTAGCAGAGCACAGCTGCTACTGGGGAGCATTGGGTTGTGCTATGTGAAGAGTCTCAGTTTTGAACAGAAATAGTGCATGATTTGACTACCAAATAATAAACGGTTCATCCCCTTTACAGTAAGTAACACGATTCCAGAAGAACAAGATATTGCCTCAACCCGAAGAATGACTTGGCGTAACTGGGTTGACAGAAAAGGCAAGATAATTATAAGATCTCTCACCATCAAGATTATCCTGACTGGGAGGAAGAAATACATATTTCCCCCTCTAGAACTATCTCAATCAGCCTGCTTGTTTTTCTTCCTTCTCTGTTCTTCCTATACCTACTCATTTATTTTCTCGTGTGCCCCCTGGTTGCACTCGTAAGTCTAATTTTAGTACCCAGTCACTCTTTAGTGCGGGGACTAGCATAGGCAGTCTGTGTTCAAGGCTTTTACTCTCCCGTGATATGTCATACTTAATTAACTGTCACCTTCACTATTAATATTAACTGAAATATTAATTTGATGAATCTTAATTTCTCTTAATCATAGCATCATTTTGATCCTTCATTGGATATCTCTTTAGAGTGACATTCAGTGCAGAGGAGAAATATTAATAGCATATTAAGGTGTTTAAAACATCTCTTTAATAATTACATGTTTTCCTGGTAAGGGTATGTGTTCCTTGAACAGATATAGGCACCCTGATTTCCTTGTTAGCAAATGGATGTTTTGTCTTGATCACCTTCTGACTCTATTTTATACCTTTAAATGAAAATACTTCCAAATTCAAGAAATGTTCCTCCAAAGATTAATTCTCTAGAGTCTGCTGTATTATTGGAGTGGCAAGGGCTTTGTACTATTAATGGAGGCATCGAAAATTTATATTTGAAAGTTTAGCCTGAGCCTTGGATAGCAGAATCTATGGAGAGCCAGCACCAGGAGGAAAGAGCCAAGCTGAAGGGCAGCTGAAACAGGAAGGAAGGAAGGAAGGAAAGAAGGAAGGAAGGAAGGAAGGAAGGAAGGAAGGAAGGAAGGAAGGAAGGAAAAGAAGGAAAGGAGGGGAGAAAGGAGAGAGGAAGGAAAAGAGAACTGGTCTATTTACTGATCATTCTAACGTTCTTCTCGTTCATTAAAATTTTTTTTTCTCCCCCATGTCCTGTACTGGCATTACAGATGCATTGAATCTGGGTGAAGACGCTCATCAGAACGCACTCCATCAATAACACATGGCTGGTACTGAGAGTATTTTTCGGAACAACCCCATCTCTCAAGCCCAGTCACAGGCAGAGCATCATTCCCAGGACCCTCCTCATCGTTCTCACGAGTCTCTTCAAGCATCAGCTCCCTCACTAAGGAGAAAATGCCAGAAATTCTCCCTCCCCTCTCGTTGCCTGAGCACTCTAAGGGGTATCCTGATCTTTACCCACTCCGAAACAGCATGGCCCATGAGCCCACCTACCTCCAGGTACACCACCCACGGCATCACCAGCGTGGCCACCAGCAGGTCTGCGACAGCCAGGCTCACCACCAGATAGTTGGTGGTGGTCTGTAGGGCGCGCTCCCTCAGCACAGCTGCGCACACCAGGGCGTTGCCGAAGATGATGGCTAGGATGAGCGCACAGTAGGACAGGGCGTAGTAGGCATGCGGGCGGGCCCGGCTGACCCCCGTGGAGTTCTCGGCCCCACAAGTGGAGTTGATGTGGTTGCTTATCTGGCTCAGAGGTGCCATAGCCCAGACGGAGGAATGTGACTCCAGAATGTCCCTAGGAAAAGAGCAAAACCAATGCCGGTCAAATCAGTCTTTGAGGCTGGGATATGATATGTCGATGCAGTTTAAAATTTGAGTCTGCAAATATTTATGAGACATTTCCTATATAGCATCAGGCAGAGTATAAGAACTAGAGATAGGAATAAAACATAGACAAGCAGTTCCTCCCTTATGAAGTGTGTATGGGGGGATATAGTCATCAAGGTAACTCCCGTTCAATGATGACATGCGTTTTGGAGAAAAGTAAATCAGAAATGGGAGTTGGGGAGTGGTTGAGGACAATGTGTGTGTGTGTGGGGGGGGTGAGCATCTGAGAACAATTTCTAACTGGTATCATCAGTAAGCCTTCGTGGATATGTTAGCAATTAAGTCAAAGGTGGGAGAGGCAGAGAACCAACCAACACAGATACCTGCTAGAGTGTGGTCCAAGCAGAAGGATCAGGGTGCCTCGAGGAGGCGGGGCACGGGGTAAGTGGCAGGAAGGCCAGCACAGCTGGAGTCTAAGGAGGCAGCTGTGAAGTGGAGGGATGCAAGCTCTGAGGGCTTGTGTGGGGGACTGAAAGAATCATGCTTTACTTTGTGTGGGATGCAGCTGCTGCCGTGTGAGATTCTCCTGGTCATCTCCTAACTGTGGGGCCACAGGCGTGCTATGCTCTCCGAGCTCCGGTTTCCTCCTCTGTAAAACGGAGGAATGATAGAACCCGAGCCTGTTTCCAGGATTTTCACTCCAGGCATTGGTGGAAATAATTCTCAAGGTGGGATGATAGCTCAGGGGCAGTGAACACACGACACAGCTCTGGGTTTGACTTCAGCCCCACAAAGGAAGAACAGAACTGTTGTGTTTGTTTCTGTGTTTTGAGGAAGGGATCCATCTGTAGCCTGAACAGCTTGGAACAAGATGTGGTCTAGGCCAGCTTCAAACTCAAGGTGATCCTACTGCCTCAGACTCCCAAATGCTGAGATCACAGACATGAGTCACCATGACTGGCTTATAAAAGAACTGTTTTGTGGGTTAAGACTTTGAAAGCCATGCTCTATACTTCAAATACTGTGCAAGTACTGTGTTGGCTTTTTTTTTTCTTATTAGCCTGTTCATCTTAGTTCCCTTTCTTTTCAAATTTTTAATAAAAACATACTTGTGTGTGTGTGTGTGTGTGTGTGTGTGTGTAGGTGAGTATAGTGTAGGGTGTGTGTGTGTGTGTGTGTGTGTGTGTGTATCTCTATGTGTGTGATGTTTGAACCTGTGTATGTGTGAGTGCATGCACCTACATGTGTATGTGGAGGCCAGAGGATGATGCTGAACCTCTGTTCTGTCTCTCTTCACCTTATTCCTTTGAGACAGGGTTTCTCTCTCTCTGCGCCTGGAGCTAGACATGGAGCCAGAAACTCAGAGATCCTTTCGTCTCTGCCCCTCACAGCACACATGACCACATCCAGCGTTTTATGTGGACACTAGAATCTGAACTCAGGTCCTAAAGCTTATACAGAAGGTTCTCTTAGCCACCTTGTCATCTCTCCAGGCCTCACTTTCCTGGCTTTCTTCCTCCGATCCAATTTACCTCCCTCATCTCTGTTAGCCTCTTATACCTTTCTTGAATAGCCCATTCTCTCTCATATTTTACAGAGAGAGTAGTGGGGTTTGGAGACTAGATTATCGGAGAAAATATTGAGTATTTGGGTTTAGTACAGTGGTTTTTGTATTCATGGGAATTCCACATGTAGAATTTTATTTGAAAATTCCTAATCTTAAAACATTAGTTGCCATTTGAAAATATTTAATCTCTATAAAGTCCCCTAGTACCCACCAAAATCCACGGTTCAATAATGAGTGATTTCCAATCTCTTTTAACCCAGCTTGATGTCCTTGCTTTTTAAACAGGGAGATCAACCACAAAGACACGAGTAATGTATCGTAAGTCCTATGCTTACTACGGTCTTCTAATTCCTTCAGTTTTGCCTTTTAGTATTTGGAAGCCATAGTGACTGTCTTATTACCATCCTACTGGGGAAAATAAACCCTCAAATCATGCACGGTTGAGCCAGCAGTGGTGGTGCAAGCCTTTAAACCCAGCACTTGGGAGGCAGAAGCAGATGGATCTCTGTGAGTTCCAGAACTATATAGTTCCAGTCTATATATAGAGTTCCAGGACAGCTAGAGTTAAATAATGAGACTCTGCCTCAAAAAAAGGAAACCAAGGAGGTTTGGGTTCAGAGTGGCAAGGACACCTGAGTCCATTAGCTTCACCCATGATACCGGTTTGTAGGGACCAGACATATAGAGCGGACTCTGGTCTCCAAAAGCCAGATTTACATGTGTTCATGGGACATGAAAGCCCTCACTCCTGAAGAAAAGGCCTGTGTGCAGAGGGCATCAGTGCTTCAGAGCCACATGCTAGGAAGATTTGGAGTCTGTGCCTGCTGTGGGACAATAATCATGTACCCTGTAAAGATCTGTCACTTGTATTGGTTTAATAAAAAGCTGATTGGCCAGTAGCCAGGCAGAAAGTGTAGGCGGGGTGACCAGAATAGGAGAATTCTGGGAAGAGGAAAGGCTCAGTCTGCGGTTGTCACCCAGACACAGGATGCGAGATGAGAATGGCTGACACAGACAGGAATTATGGGTTAATTTACGATGTAAGAGTTAATAAGAAGCCTGAGCTAATAGGACAACCAGTTTATAATTGATGTAGGCCTCTGTGTGTTTCTTTGGGACTGAATGGCTGCTGGACCAGGCAGGATAGAAACCACTGTCAACATGTGTCCAGGTAAAAGTGTTCCTACTTCAGTCTCTATGGCCATGCTGGCCTTCTGCCACAGTCTGAATGTTTGTGTGCCCCCAAAACCTGTCTGTTGAAGTCTTAAATCCCCACATGGTGATGGTATTGAGAGGTGGGAGTTTAGTGAGAGCTGAAGCTGTTTGGTGGTCAGGGTTAATTCTCAATCTTGCCACCTAGAGCTCTCCTAGAATTAAATGGTTGACTTAATCATGGCTATCATTTTATACCTCGCTTTGAAACACTTCTGTCTGAAGCAAGTATTAAAATGAACCAATGTTAGAAAAGGGTGACCAACTTGGAACGCATTCAGGAAATTACTTAAAAATGTTCTTTATCACAGCACATTGTTTGCAGTCAATATATTTTTAACACATAATAATAATCCTTGGTAATAATTATAATTTCCTCATTATTAGGAGAAGGGCAGCCGCTACCCTGGAGATAGCATGGCGGTTGCCAAGAGCTTTAGGAAAAACACAGCACTTTCTGATTGTTCAAGGATATTCCCCCCTTGGAGGCAGGCTCAGGCCCACAATACCTTTCTTTTCACAACTGGGCCACCTTCAAGGCAGGGGCCAGCATCTCCTCCCTTTTTGGAATCTGCAGCTGCTTAATGAAACCCTAGCCTCGTCTCACCTGTTAAGTAAGAAGGAGAGGTCAGAAGGAAAGCATAAAGCCATGGGATTCTTGCCAGGCTTCGTGCTCCACCCAGAGGGTTGGCAGCTACCTAACGGAACGGGGAATGTTAGGGGCTCATTGTAGGATAGGCAGTGCTCACTTCCCCGAATCCGTTCTGGCCCTGACGTTGGAAGCACAGCTACATGGGTTTCTGGCTTGTGCTTTCACTTGGTACAGTTTTCTTAGATTCCTCTTTGCAGCAGGTGGGTAGACTGTGGTAGTTCCAGAATTCTGGGTGTGAGAGATAAAAGGAATCAGAGATGATGGAGATACGCCGCAGTGCTCCCTGCTTCTCGGCTAATTATTTCCTCCTTGAATTTTTTTTTCTTCTTAAATGAGGTTTTTTTTTTTTTTTTTTTAGAACTCTGAGCTGGGTTGTTTTTCTCCCTCTTTAGCCTTCTGATAGATGTGCTAACGGATAGTGAACTAGTCTCAGGATGAAACTGGGAGTCTGAAGAATTTATTAACTTAATAATCACTCTCCAAATAATTCATAATGATAAGCCAGTTGTTTCATCATCAGACGGAGGATAAATCATGCCCACTTCATAGGGTTATTGTGAAGACCAAATGCAATTATATGCTTAATGCCTCCACACTATGAACAACTGGGCCAATAATTCTTTGTTTTGCAGGACATCTTATGCATTGTTGATGGTTAGCAGTGTCCCTGCTCTAGCTACTAGTTGTAATAATCAAAACCTGGAGGCTGCTCAATCTCAGGTGGGGGAGGGGGCAAAATTTCTCTCCCACTGGAGCAGCGTTGTTCCAGTGTAAGACCTAACATGGCTTTTATTGTTAATGGGAAGGTGTGAGAAGGCACAGGAGAGAAGTCAGTTACAACTGCCAATCATCTGATGGACTTGGTGATTAGGAGACTACTGGTAACATAGAATGTTAGGAGTTAAGAGTGTGTATGGAAGGTGAGAAAATAAAGAAGAGAGGCTAAGGAGTTGGCTCAGTTGGGAAGAGCATTTCCTGGGTAAGTGTGAGGATCTCAGTCTGAGTCTTTAATGCCCAGGTAAAACGCTGAGCATGACTGAGGTCATATGTACGACTGGACAAGGGAGAAGGCTAGGGTTTGGTGGCTGTCAGCCTATGTGGCTCCAGATTCATCGAGAGACTCAAGGGAAAAAGGCAGAGTGTGACAGACAAGGACATCTGACATCTTCAAATTTCTGTACCACATGGCACACATGTGTGCTCATATATTGTAGACACCACGGGGCAGGGTAGGGTAGTCAAAGGCTAGAAGAATATGGCTAGCTCCGATCTCTTAAGACATACTACATACAACATTGATTACAAATTTTAAGAAGATTAAATTTCATATAAAGTATCGATTCCTTCTGGTCTTTTTTGGTGTGTCCAAGCCTTTTTAGCATGCCTGTGTGAACTAGTTTAAAGCCAGAAAAACAGAATGGACAAGCTCTCATTATCCAGGACACACCCTGCTTTGCTAATATTCGGCTCCTCGATGCACCTGGACATTCAGCCCACAGAATGTCACTAAGAGAACTATT